CCCATCATGACGGCGCTGCAGCCCCGCCCCGTGGGCGGCTCCGGGCGGCTCCCGGCCCGTTCCTCCCCTCCCCTCCCCGCCCCGCGGCTGCAGGAAGCGGCGGAGCGCGGCCGGGCAGCGCCGGTGCAGCGATCGCGGGGTCCCGGGGGGGCTCGGCGGCGACGCCCGGGGAACTCCCCGCCGGGAAAGGGGAGCGGGCGGGCCGCGGGTCATTGCCGTGAGGGGAGCGCCGGTGCCGCCTCCGCGGGCGGCCTGACATGAGCTCATCGGCGGCGGCGGCGGCATGGCCTGCGCCCGGAGGGACGGCGAGGCGGACGGCGAGCCCGACCGCTCCCTGCGGCACATGCTGCGGGCGATAGCGGAGGAGCGGAGCCGCGCCGGCCTCCGGCACGACATCAGCGGCCTCGGTGAGTCGGGCGGGGCGGGCGGGAGGTGCCCGGAGCCCGCGGGGAGCGGCGGCCCCGGCCCGGGGCTGTGAGGGGAAAGCGGCACCGGCACCTGTTGTGTGCCCCGGGCACGGCCCTGTGCCAGCCCCGGCACCGCTGGATCAGCCCCTGCCCCGCTGTCTGAAATGCCCTTGCACAGGGATGCTCGGGAGGCACCGCGCACATCAGCCCGTGGGGTGTTTTTGAGCTGTGAAGGACGTGTCGTGTGTTTTGGGATGCAAACAGAGCCGATTTTTGGTGCCTCTTGCCAACAACGCTCGCTCTTGTGCGGCTCTCAGWCGCTCTCTAGAGATTGTGATTCTGACACCTCCCTTCTCTCTTTAAATGACTTCACGCCGCTTGCCATGGTCTAGTAAGCACAGAATGTTGGGGCTGTAGCAGGTCAGTTAATTTTTTAAACGGTGGAGGTTTTCTTCAGCTCTCTGTCTTGTTTATTTTCATCTGCAGATTTCACACGGCACATCTTTATTTAGCTTTTGGCAAAGCTTATGCTCTGTAAAGCCAAAGTTTTCAGGTTGAAATTCAGTCGACTTTAGGCAACAGAACAGTTGGCAGCTCCTTACCCAAAATCGTTCACATCAGGAAACTCTTCTGGCCAGGCTGATGAATAGAAATTACTCATTCTTCTATGCAGCAGTGGAGATCATGGAAATTGTTCTTCACATCCAAAATTTCTGTCTACCTTATTCAGAGCTTTTGTGTAGCCAGGGCTGGACCTGYGTTCTAAAGGGATGAATATCCTGAAGTCCTTACAGGGGCAGAGATTGAAATGTTGAAGAGTGTGCAACACTTGTTTTTTYTCCGTGGGGCCTTCATTAATGACTSYTCCCTCMTCAGCTCCTTTWTAAGKCCCCTRAARTCTYCTCCATTTCTSAGTCTTTGTGAAAAGCTCAGAATAAAGTCTTATTCTGGTTTTACAGTCTGTGAGGTGTGGATTGACATGGGGAATCTCTGGTTTGCTGCTTTTATGCCAGTTTGTCTGCCAGAGATTGATGTGGTCTTCCTGGGAAGAATGGGCTCTCCGTTCTTTCCTTTTGCTTTGCCACAGAGTGAAATCTTGTGTGAACAAAGAGAAAATATTATTTCTTTCTGCTTTTTTCCTAATGGAATTGGCTCTCTGGGCGTTAATGTCGTTTCTAAATGTTCCAGGTCTTAATAAAGTAAGGAAGATGTTGTAGCGAAGGAATTGTAAACAAAACAGGTAAAAACCCACAAAATTGAAATGCCTGTSAGATTGCATTCATTGGAAAGCTTCTGTCAGGTCATGTTTGGCCATATCMTGTTTTAATGTGAAATAAAGTCTCCCAGGAAGAGAAATACCACCATCACTTTCTTCYGCTGAAATTGGAAAAGGGAAAAAACTGTGGCAGCTGGTAAGACTATGCCTCCTCTCTGCTTGTGTTTGAACACACATCCACCACMGCTCATCCTGAGAAGTCCTGCTGAGTGGATTTGGGATAATCACAAGGAAAAGGACACTGTACCTCTCTCCTAGCAGCTGAAGGCTTGGAAGGAAAGCCCTGGGAGAGCTGCTTGGCTGGTGGCACTGTGGGGCTGTTCCTGGCGTGCCCATGTGTGCCTGTCCTTTTGCAGAGATGAGCATTTTGCAGTGTGCTGCGTGTTCCCTGATCCATAATGTTGTCATTCCCGTTGATGGGAGCTCTTTCCCTTACACTGAGATTTATTACCAGGTTAGTAAATAGTTCAGATATCTGCCTTAGGAAAAACACCGAGCTGTTGGGGTGGTGCTTGGTAGAAATTGTAAATTAATGTGGTGTGTGAGTCTGAGATGAGCTCCTGCACATCTGCTCTGGCTTAGTGAGAGCTGTTTGCAAGGAGTGCACCACAGCTGGAATACCTGGGCTCTTCTGGAGGATGGGAAGGATTGTCCTCACCTTCAGAGCTCCAATCCCATCTGGGTTCAGGTTAACACAGAGATTTTGTCTGCCCTTTGTTCCTGTGTGGCACATCACCTGTGAGGCAGCAGGACCTGCACACCCACAGATGGTTTTGTGTTCATGGTGGTTCTTTATGTAGCAGCCATATCCTTTTGAGCTGTTTCAGTAGGTGAAACCTGTTGTTTTTCAGTTCCCTTCAAATCAGATGGCAAAGACTCCAACAGTGGCTTCTCCCTGAGTGCTGCCAACTGCTCAGCAATRAAATGGGGCTCACTGGGTCATGCCTTGGCCATCCTCTCTCCTTTTTTCTATTTCTTAGAAGTGAGCCCAGCTAAGGAGGAAATCATTATTTTTGCTGATGCTGAGATTTGGTGAGAGGAATTGCTTTGTTTCAAGAATATCACGTAAGCATTTTGGACAGGCTTTGTCCAAAAATTTAAATCCCCTTGTGTGGTGGGATTTTCTGTAATGTCCTGTTTGTGTAATGCACTTCAAAATAATGACTCATGTGTGACTCCTCACCAGGCTGGGAAGGGCGATGATGTCTCTCCAAGAATTCTTGGCTGGATGTTCATGTCGTCCACTTGGACCGTGCCCTAAGCTCCCTCTGAAATGCTGCTGGCTGAATTATAATATTCAAGAAGGATATATKTGCCTCTGTAACTTTGCATATATTTGTCTCTGTAACTTTGAAGAAAGTGTAGCCACAGAGTAGGTGGAGGAGAATTTGCTGCAGCACAGAACTGGTTTGACAGGAGTCACTTTCCTGCAGACACAAAACATTCTTCAGTTGTGGTTCTTCTTGGAGTCAGTTCTGAGAATTGTGCAGTCAAAGGTGAGAAACTGCAAAGGCTGTGAAGCTCTTTTTTCTTTTGATCTGTCAGTAACAAGAAGGTATGAAAATCACATCTGTCCTAACAGAAACTTGAGGGATGTATGCAACCAATTCACCAGCTATGAGTAATGTGGCCTGTAATGAGTTTGTTTAATTTAGAACAATTTGATTTCAGTTTAAAATGCTTTTTTTTTATTACTTTTACTTTAATATTTGCGCTATTTATTTTGCCCTATTTATGTGTTTTGAAAGTACTGAAGATGAAATGTTCACTAAAAAATGTATGCTCAGATACAGAAGAGAAAAAAAAACCCCAGATATTAATGTAAAAAAACTTWAAAAATAGTAAAGTAAARAAGTGTTTTTAGARTAGCTTCCTAACSGGTCCAAACCAAACAAAAATACCTCCCACAACATTCCAGCCAGGAAGAATCCGTATTTCTCTTCAGGTAAAGTTCTAGAAAGTGTAAATGCAAAGCAAGATCAGAACAGATTATTTAAATCAGAGTTAATGTAAATCCTCTGAAGTCAAAGTGGTTTAACCGGTTCACCCTGAGTATTGAACCTCAGATTTGTAGTTGGAGAAGGATGAGCAAGTAACAAAGAAATTCCARTGTGAAAGTGGGTATCATTTTTTTTTCTCTTTTTAGTAAGTAGATGGGGAGATGGGGAAGATGATTTTAAAGGTGCTGCTTTTCTAATTTTTTTGCCTGACATGGAAAAATGTCTGGAAGAAATTTTCACCATCAAAAAATGCGTGTGGACACTTGATGAGTGCTTTGATGGGGTGGTGTAGGAAAAACCACAGGTGGAGCRAATTCTGAGATGCAGTGCCTTTGGCCAGGGATGGGAATATATTTCTTCTTGTCCAAGGTCTTGGTGTCCTGGGATCCCACCCTGTCACTTCCAAATGTGGGAGTGTCCCTGTAGGATCAGGCCATGGAGAATGGCTGAACTCCAGGGCTGCAGCCTCCAGGGTTAATACCTTTTTCTGTGTGGGTTTTTTTTTTTTTTTTTTTTTTTTTTTTGTTTTTTTTGTTTTTTAATGGTGATTCATTTAAAATGGTGTTTCTGTTGTTGCTCAGAACCTGTTCATGCTGGTGTCACTAATGGCCTGTCAGGTTTTGAATCATTCAGTGGTGTTTTCAGGGATTTGTCACGTGGCTGTGAAGKTTAGCTGCTGTCTGGACTGTGACAGATATTCCAGGCCATGTCGATAATAGAACAGACACTATTACAGCTTTCACATCTGGTTTAAGCTGTTGGGTTATTGGTTTGTTCTTTCCTTTAATAGAGATGAAACCTTAYGGGATTTTTCATGTCCTGCTCAGGACTGTACATGCTCAAATTGTCCAAGTCAGACTGGAGATGCTGAAGTAAGGAGGCAAGAATTTTTTAAAAGCTAGAAAAAAACCAACTCCACCA